ATTATTTTCATTCCATTTTAAAAGAGAACTGATTGGCTCTCTCTTGTTATTTATAAATATTTTATACATATCTTTACACCCTTTATTACTTCTATAAAAAATGAAAGTTGAATGTGGAATATTTGGTCCAATAACCTTTAATCTTTTTATTTCCTCTATTCCTGCATACTTCAGTCTTTTTAATATAGCCCTCTTAAGACCATTATATTCAACAAAATTTGTTTTCACTTTCAAGTTTACTATGGTATCAAAGCTTAAAAAGTTACCATCATTATCAAAAAGGTCATTTAAAAAGACAAAGCCTTCCTCAAAATAGCTTTTCCAGAAAAAAGATTTTCCATTAATCAATATATGTGGGTTATTCCATATATGTTCTAATAACACATGTTTGTTTTCTTGGTTTATATTTATAAGTTTTACCCAGGAATTAAGGACATCTTTCCAAAAATTGTTTGTTAAATTTTTTGTTAAGTTTAAAATGTAATCCGAGCCCCTTATCCACATGTTTTCAATGTCTGTTTTTAGTTCAGCTTTAAACAACTTTACCCATTTTGCATCTGAATGAATGAGTCTTCTAACCCAACTTGATTTAAGTGCAGAAATAAATTCTGTGTAATCTACCATTTTCAGCCCTCCATATTTATAGTCCTGAATTATAACATTTTTCTTTATTTTATGTATTTTACTATTCCATAAAAAAAGAAACAACTCTGTCTCAAACATTTTTAGAAATTCAGGTTTAGGATTTGGTAGTGTAAGAATCAGATGATTTAGTTTTGGTATTATAAGAGTTTTAATTACTATTAATCTACCAATTGGGGTAAGTTTCCTCATACTCCAACTACATAGGAGTTTTTTAATATCATTTAATTTTGACATGTAATTTAATTCAAGCATTTCCTCCAGATTAACTGAAAATTTTATTCCTAGCAAATCAAAGTTTGAATTATCCCAATCAAGCTTCCATCGAGAATGGTGAAAAACTTTCTTGGAATATTTCTTACTTCCAATCCAAAAATTGTTTTTTTAAGAAGTTAATTTTTAAACCTGAAATATTTGCAAAATAATCGAGTTCTCTTAGAATACCATCCATTGAGGTAGGTGAACCATCTGAAATAAGGGATGTATCATCAGCATATTGTGAAAGTTTATATTCTTCGCCTTCGATTGTTATGCCTTTAATGTCTTTATTATTTCGAATAAGAATTCCAAGTATTTCTGCACATAACAAAAAGAGATATGGTGAAATTGGGTCGCCCTGTCTACAGCCTCTTTGAGGAAATATATAGTCTGAGATAATACCATTTTGTATTACACATGATTTAATACCACAGTAGAAAGTCTCAATCCATTTTTTAATGGAGGGCCCAAAGTTGAAAAAGTCCAATGTTTGATATATAAATTTCCATGAAATTGTATCAAATGCTTTTTCAAAGTCTATAAGCATTAGTAAACCAGGTACTTGGTTTAATTCTGTATAATGCATCAAATCGTATATTAATCTAATATTCTCCCCTATGAATCTTCCTTTTATAAATCCAGTTTGATCTCTATTGATTAATTTATCTAATTTTGTTTTCATTCGTTCAGCAATACAACCTGAAGCTATTTTATAAACAACATTTAGTAGACTAATTGGCCGCCAGTTTTTTAAAAACTGTTTTGGTTTTCCTGATTTTGGAATACAAGTTATAATTCCAAGTTTATTTGACTCTGTAAAATGTGTTAGATCATAAGAATTGTTTATTGCTCTTGTAATAAAAGAACCTATATCTTTCCAAAAGAATTTGAAAAACTCGCAAGTAAATCCATCGGGGCCAGGACTCTTCTCATTTTTCATTTGTTTTAGGAAATTAAAAACTTCAGAATTTGTCACTGGACCTTCAAGACTTTTTGATTCTTCTTTACTTAACTTGGGAATATTTTTATAGGTTTTTAATTTTTCATGAATATTTTCAGATTCAACATTTTCCCTTTTTTTATATAAGCGTTCATAAAAAGACTTTGTTTCCTCTAAAATATCTTTCTGAGTAGAAACAAATGATCCATCATCTCTTTCTATTTTTGGAATTTGCTTACTGACATAGTTTCTTGATTCTAAACTAATAAAGTATTTTGATGGTTTTTCTCCTTTAAACCTTTTTTTTCTTATTTCTTCTATTTCTGTTTGTTTTTCTGAAAGTTCATTTATTGACTGTTCTGTTAAATTTTGTTCTAATTCAAATATTTCTTTTTCTAATTGTTTTTCTCTTTCATTTGTTTCCTTCTTTTTGTAAGTGGAATAAGAGATTAACTTTCCTCTTATCTCCATTAGTAAAATATCAAGAAAAAGTTGATCACTTATAGTAAATTGAATATCATCATTATCTAGACAACTAAGTCTTTCCATATTGTAAACAGGGCAGACATACTGAACTTTGACCTCTTCAATCTTATATTTTATCTTTTTAACAAATTCCTTATCAGTTAGTAAAGAGTTATTAAATTTCCAGAATCCTCTTCCTTTTATGAACTCATTTAATTTACAATTTAACACCACTGGTGAATGATCAGAACGATAACTATTCTCGTAAGTTACAGAAGGAGTCATGGTAAACAAAGATTCCGATATTAAGAAAAAGTCAAGCCTAGCTTGTTTAATTGGGCTTTTTCGTCTCCATGTAAATCTTTTTAAGTTTGGGTTATTTTCACGATATACATCCTTTAGGTTTAGAGCATCCATAAGTTTTAAAACTTCAAGTCATGATTTAGGATTATTTAAATTTTTGTAATTTGTTGAATCTAACTCTTTATCAAAAATTAAATTGAAGTCACCTGCAATAACAATGTTTTGAGAACTGTTTATCTCCTCTATTGTATTAAGTAAACTTAAAAAAAAATTGGGTCTATCACAATTTGGACCGTATATATTTATCAATAAAAAAGGTATGTCTTCAATGATGACATCTAAAATAAGATAATTTCCCTCATTATCCTTAAACTCGTTGTATATTTTTACTTCACAATTGTTATTAAATAAGATGGCAACTCCTCTTGAATTCGATTTAAAAGAACTAAAAAAAGCTTTATACCCCCACTGTGTTCTTATCATGTTCTCATCTTTTTCCATAAAATGTGTATCTTGAAGAAAATAAACATTATATTTCTTAGCTTTTAGATTTTTGAAAACATCACCTCTTTTATCTATATCCCCCAGGCCTTGGCAGTTTACTGACAGTACTTTTATGTTATTTTCCCTATGTCCCATAAATGTCTATATGATGATATGAATAATGCTGACCCCCAGTTGTCAAAAACAAAAATTGCAAAAAAATTGAAAAAAGTATGGGAAAAAAAGACATGCCTCTTTTTGTTGATAATTTGGAGGGGGGATTTTGCCAAAAACTTTTTATAAAGTTATGATAATAAATTGGATGTAGGCACATTTATAAAAATTAAAATGCTAACGGATTGTAGAGAATACTATGCACAAAGACTTTTCTATTTAAGAGCAAAAAAGGATATGAGCATAGAAAGTTATGATAAAAGTTTAATAACTTAAACAATAAGAGAGAGAAATCAGGTTTTCAACAAATCATAACTTGATTATTTTGTATCAATTAGATAATGTATACTTGTTTGATATTATGGAGACTATGTGCATAGATTCCCCCATTGTTATGTGGTATTTAAGTCAAATAATATATTCACATATTATGTTAACACCAGGCAATATTTGAAATGAAAAGAAAATTGTTTACCAAATGCGAAAGACAAAACAGGAAATACAACATTTCAAAAAAAGCCGGAATAATTAGGTAGAAAAAAATATTCCGGAATATTTCAATAAACACACCTGATGTTTATTTCACTTTAAAACACTGTTATCGGTAATAAGATTGGTTCAAGATAGTGTTCCACTCAAATAACTGTCGGAATTCACCTGATATGCGAGATTGAAACATATATATCAAACTGAGACTGGTAACTTCTTTGCCGCACCGAGGCCTGCTTCCTTAATGTGCGAGAAGCGACGGGGTCCGATGTTATTTCCGTGCCATCTTGACACAACTACAAGTGCATTGTTAATTTCGTTATCGGCCAGCGTTTTTAATGGCAACCTACCGGCTCCATGCTCTCCATCGTCATTTGAACCTTCGTGCACCACTCCATCACTACTTGAGAAACGGTAGGCGTAAATATTGTGACTCGCGCTTGGCACAGTCTCGACACGCATGATATCCACCAGCGATTTCTTGATCTGTTTGTAGGAGTCGACCTGTGTAGCGTGTGCTATGAACCGGTTCCCGTTATCTTCTATGGACTTCCCTGTACTAACGGCAGTATTTACCACGTCATCTGTGATCACTTCGTCTGCGGTAGGCAAAGGTCCGACTTTCTCCCGGTAAACGGAGTTGCTTTGCGTAAATACAAGTTTATCACCCTTGATTTTTGACTCGATACTGCGTTCCTGACCATCGAGTCGTAACATGAAATTAGCTAGCGTTGTCTGTATGCTGGAAATGCCCTGCATAATTTCTCTAAGTTGAAAGCCTTCAGTTTTCTGTTTACCTTGTTCTTCTTGTTCCATTGACAATTCACCCGTATCATCTGTTTTGTCTAGCGCTCGTTTTTTAGAGATCTCCGCCATTGTGAAGACAGAATAACACTGTATTTAGCTATATGAGTATCGCTCACCGTTTAACAGTTAAATGCCACTGACTTACCGAAAAGTTTACCAACTCTCTGGTGTATCTATTTCTTTCCGTAAACTACTTAAATCTGCACATAACACATAGAAGAATATCTTGATTAATATCACTGCATTTTAAAATTCAGAGTTTCACTTTTTCACAGGGTTTTTGGCAAAAATTCTCCCTCTGCCAGGAATGTGTGTCTTACATGTTGGGCATGCGCACTCAAGCCTCAAGTATATTTTTAATATACCTTTAAAAGCTATGCATCAAACTTTAACTTATTTGATTTGATCGAATTTGGTGAAAAAATGGAATGTTTTACAGATACCAGTGAGCACTGTAAGCACTCCAGTCGCCTCTGGTGGACAAGACCTTGGGGGCCGATCTAGATTCGCAAAACTTGGAATGGCAACAAACGATGCGTTAAATCAAGCATACAGAGATATACTAGAGATGGAAGTGCCTCCATCTGATATTGAAAGCAAAGCGAAGGCCGTCTCGGTTTATAAAAGATTGCGACCAGAACAGGAACATATCTTGCTAGATGCTAAACATTCGGGATATAAGAATTTTGACATTTCTTTATTATACACACTAATAAGAAACATTTGTTCAACGATTCCTAAACCAACAAAAGGAAAATGGGGAGATAACAACATGCCTGCAGCAGGAGAGATATCTGTGGGTGATGACATCGAGAGAATTAGGTTAATCCGAAACAGTTTGACCGCACATGTAAGCTCAGCCTCCACCCCTCAGAAAGAATTCGATGACACTTGGTCGATGATGTCAGATGTCTGCCAAAGACTAGAAGCCTTCACTGGAAAAAAGTACATAGATAGTCTTAAAGGCGTTCAGAAACTGGTTTTAAAAGAAGAAGGGGAGGATGGAATAAAAGCTATCATAGAAAAGTTTGCCAAGGACCAACATGAACAACATGAACTGTTGAAGACAGTCGTGTCAGATGTTCAAGAATTAAAAACAAATATGCAACAAGTCAAAGACATCACAAAATATTGGAATCGGGTATTGTAAAAAAGGGTCTAAAATTACAGAATATTAACATTTAAAACAAATACGAAAGAAATAACAAAACCTTATTGTCGACTTCTATGGATTTTGTAATTTATATTTTGCCTTATGTAACATTTTCAAAAGATATCACAAGTTTTTGGAAGCCTTAACTATATTTACAATAATTATTTTTAAGGTAATCAAATTTTCCGTACAATATTCGGTTTAGAAAAATGACATAATTATTTTTATATAAAAAAAATATTTGTATAAAAAGGTTAAACTTGATAGACATGATATTTGACTATTTTTCAACCCCTTCATATTTTAATGCTTAATTACTTCATATGTTGTCATTCGTTTGATTATAAAGACTTTATCTTATACAATTCAATAGATCAAGTGGAGAAATTATTCAATATGACTTACTTTGTGTGTTAAGTAACTAAGAAATATGATCTGTTTATTTGACAGGAACAGCAACAGGAGAATCTGGACAAGGATGGAAGTCCAGGTACGTTAAATCTTTGTCCACTGTCACTTCTATTGAATCAAAACACTTGTATAAAGAACTCTTTTATATTTTAAATCATGTTTTGACTGGTTGTAGTGTTGTATAGACTTTTCTATCTAATCTTCGGTCAAGCCGTTCATGAATTTATTTTCTCGTTTTTGAATGATCCCTTTCCCAGTGTGTTGCCTTGATTAAGAAAATTTTCTCAGTTAAATGATATTTAGGGGGAGGGGTGTATAAAAAATCAAAAGTATTTCTATAAAGTCCACTTTATAAAGTAAAGTTTTTATTTTAATTTTTGTTAATTTCTAATTTTGAGAATTTTAAATATAATTTTATCACATAGAGACAAATTATATATGGAACCGTATTCTGCACTGTGTTTTTTCAAATACTGTAAATGAACGTCTTTTAAAGCTATAACCTATATATGATGTCAAAAAAATTTGCAGAATTTTACACCGTCACTTGACTGTGTACTCAAAATTGCATTGAGGATATTCATTGGTTTTTCAAGAAATTCAATCACTTCTTTTTCTCGTATTCAATTACATGGATAACATTAAATTATGACCTTTTGGAAACATAAAAGTATGTCAGCTTTTCTAGGATTATATTTAAGAAATAAAGTCCGCGTTTTCGTGAATGTTTCAGAATAACCTCCGAGGTCGAGAAATGTTGTTTGAAATATAAAAGCCGAGGCGTTAGCCGAGGCTTTTATATTTCAAACAACCCTTCTAGACCGAGGAGGTTATTCTGCATCATTCACGACAACAAGGACTTTATTTCTATTCTACCAAGGGCGATAAATACGGCCGATTGTTTCCTCTATAGAGAAACGAATTAGGTCACCATCTCTTGATTACACTGTTCTATTAAACACCAGAGAGAAATTTTGTTGACTTACCTATATATGGAATGCAGACGATTTGAGCTTTCGTTGCATTAAAATAGTCTTTTTAAATTACAAATTTGTTCGTAATATGTATTGATCAGTTAAAATGAATATACAAAAACAAAATCATGTTCTTGTTTTACTGCTAAAATCACGTTGTTTAATGTGTAGGGAGGTCCGTGGAATAGCCCGGCTTAGCTATAAAAACCGACATTCATCAGCAACTTGATGCAATTTACAGTGTTTATACTGCAAAAGACGACACATCGATGCGGTCTAAACAAGTATTTCATTCTACAGCCAAACATGCATTTGAATTGTTCAGATTTGATACGTGTTTCTGATCTGATAATTTTTTGATGACGTTCGTGATTAATTGGAGAATAATGTCCGGCGGCTTCCTTTGAAGTTTTCAATAACCGTGGTAGAATTGTTTTTCTTTTTTAAAATATTATTTGGCACATTTTAAGTCAAATTTTGCTAAAGTACATACATTTTCTATGGTTGAATGTTTGGAAGTGCCCTGCGTATTGTAGTTTGTTTTTTAGAGATACAAAATAGTACAAAAGGTGAGTAAATTACTATTTAGTTTCTGATCTTATGTTAAAAAAATATACTTAACAAAACAATATTGTGTTTACTGTTTCTGCTGTATGGTTTAATGTGATCTTGACTCCTGGATATTTGTTTTTTAAATGAAGCTCACAAGTCTAGAATTAGGAAAAAAATGAATCTACATGTATAAAAGCCAACTGCAGTTGTAACAGATGATTAAAATACTACATGCATTTTCCATTACATTTTAATTTAATTTTTTTTATATTCTCGCCTCTCATTGGTTGATTTCCAAAAAGGAACGCAGAACATTTTGTATAATCTGGTTTGGTATGGGGACACACCCAATTGACGACCAGCTTAATCATCTTATCCATGCAATCCCCTCATTTCCAGTCCTCGGAATCCATGGAAAATTCAAGTTTTAATAACTATCTTTAATTTCAAACACTTACTCGATCTTACCTCATGTAAACACACAACATGGCTGCTAGATCTATGTAACAGTTATTACCTCCCCTCGCTTTACATCACTTCCGTTACTAAGGTTGTATTATTGCGCGGTAAATTTGAACTTGTAAAAAGCAACACAATTTTACATCCAAAGTTGTTTAATTATTTTAAAATTAAATTATAAGGAATGACTCTAATTCTTGGCCAAATTATCGAGTATAATCTGGTTTGGGTCAGTTTACGCTTTTTTATAATCCGCTTCGCGGAGTATAAAGCGTAAACTGACCCAAACCAGATTATACTCGATAATTTTGTCAAGAATAAGAGTCATTCCTAAAATGGTTTTGACAGATGATTATAAAACAACGTGTATTTACAATTGTTTCTTACCATATGCCATCACGATCACATACTACAGTTATGATCAGATCTATATTTTAAGGAGATAATGCATCAGTTTCTCTGGCTAAAAAGGCAATGAAGTTGATGTTTAGACGAATAGTTGCTGTTTATTTTGAACTAAAAATTTCTTTTCAGTTAATACTTTATAACGACGACCAACAGATAAAGAACTGATGACAGTCAGTGAACAAATTGGGACCATTTTCCGAATAGGGATTACCCTTGGCCTAGACAACGCTACAATCCAACAAATAAGGATTGATTACCAGAATCATGGTGTGAAGATACAAGTGTTCCAAATATTTTGTGAGTGGAAAAGAAAAGAGGGAGGACAAGCAAGTGTGAAGAAGCTCCTTGCTGCTATCAAAGAGTTCGAAGACGAAGTCGATTTTGAGAAAATAGAGAGGGTTTTTAATGCGTGATATGTATCAGTTGCTGATGTGTCAAGTCGTTAGTGTGCATAGTTTGATAAATATCAAACTTTTTTTATCAATCAATCTTGACCAATCTGAGAATTGAGATCTTAATTTTTCCTTAAGTTTTGACATTGATATACGGAAGCCCATTAGTGCCAACCTGTATATATAAAGGAAAAGCAATATATAAAAGCAAACCTAGATATATAAAGGAAATGCGATATATATAAACAAAACCTGGATTTATATAAAGGAAATGCAATATATATAAACAAAACTTCGATATATATAAAGGAAATGCGATATATAAACAAAACCTCGATATATATAAAGAGAAATGCGATATATATAAAGAGAAATGCGAAATATATAAACAAAACTTCGATATATGTATATAAAGAGAAAAATTTCCATCGCCTGACCTTTAACATGTTTAATGACCTTCATAACAACAGAGACTTCGCCAACATACGATAAGCAGCTCCCGATCTAATGTTTTGATTGCGATCAGTTGGTGTGGCTGTTTCAGTATGGTATTCAGTGTGTTGTTTTCTTTATGTATACATCAACCTATTGTGTATCTTGATAATTATGATGATTAAAACTGAAGCTAAAAAAAACTGCTGTTCTTCTTCATGTGCCAAAAATAATCTTGATTCTTTGAAAAAATTATGTACATTTATCTCTAAAATTAATAGTGTTGTCTGTGTCTGCTCCACTGTATTATATGTACATGTATATATGTTTTTTATGTTTCTGTACCTTGTGTACCAGTTACAGTGTGTGAATGAATCAAATTGAAATGATTTACATTTCAAAGACTTCAGAGACTTTTCTGCTTAAAATGTATATTAATGCTGGGGGTCTTTTCAATCGAACTATAATTCGGTGCAAACATACAAGTGTGTTTTATCATGCTTTATAAGATTTTTAACGTTTTACTGTGTTTTTTACTTGATGTATGTAGAATTTCAAATCGATTTAATTTTCGACATGGGACAAAAATCCGCAGTTTAATTATGTGAGTGTGCATGCACTAATTCGTTTCTTTTAATTAATTCTCAAATACTTGATATTTTTTCCACACCATTAAAGACCCTAAAATTATTACAGTATAATTCTACTTGTCACTTTCTTCCCTTACATTCAAATGAAGTGGGTACCTTCATCCTTCCTCTCTCACCCATTCCGAACGATATTGATTCTTTTTTAAAAATGGGCATACTAGTTAATTATTTTTAAAATGAATTTAAATAAATTTGAATTAGGGCATCAAAAAAGAGTCTTCCTGTTAAACATTATCTTCATAAATTCTCGGTCGTGAAACCAAAGGTAGTACGCCCAAGTTTTTGTAAAACAGTAAACAAGATAGCTCTAAGTTGTAAATATACATGTAAAGCCAATAAATGCACAGAGAATACGATAAATATTATACTTATTTCATTAATATATATACTAATGATTAAATCAAAGGCGGATCCAGGACCGACGCGCCGGGCGTGCGACCCCTCCGTTTCAAATATTTGTATATATAATTGATAGGTCCATTATCCTAAATTCCGTACAGCCACCAGACCCCTCTGCCTTCTACTGCGCCCCCCCCCCCCCCATTACGAAATTCCTGGATCGGCCACTGTAAATGATCCTCTTCTCAATTAATTGCATAAGTTTAAGTAATGTTACAATTACAGTTCATTGATATATGCATGTACAAACAAATAAACACTATTTCATAGCAACATTTTGCCGATTCTGGGAAAGTTATAAATGAGTACTGTATAACTGATTCCCCCCCGCCAGGAGTTAATCTGTATTTAATCTTGATGGACAGCCGAGCTCTACAGGTCACGCAGTGGAAAATTTTCTCTTTATATATATCGCATTTCTCTTTATATATATCGAGGTTTTGTTTATATATTTCGCATTTCCTTTATATATATCCAGGTTTTGTTTATATATATCGCATTTCCTTTATATATATCGAGGTTTTGTTTATATATATCGCATTTCCTTCATATATCGAGGTTTGCTTTATATATATTGCTTTTCCTTTATATATACAGGTTGGCACTAATGGGCTTCCGTATTGTTAGCATATTTATTATTAAATTAAGAATCAAATTAATAAGCTTAAAATTGAATAACATTCAAATATACATAATGAAAACCGTTTTTATTTTCATTATGTGACGAGATATGCTAATAAGAAATTCATTTTGTAGTTTTTGGTGCAATTTTCACGTAATGCAGTGTAATATTGCTGTTATGATATGGAGTTGAACAAAAAAAAATGAATCAGTTTTGTTGTTGTTTCAATGGTTTGTAATGTACATACTACTTTTAAGAATTCAAAGACGAAGTCGATTTTGAGAGAATAGAAAGGGTTTTTAACATGTGATATATATCAGTTGCGGATGTGTCAAGTCCTTATTGAACAAAGTTTGAGAAATGTGAAATGTTTTTTCATCAATCTGACCCAAAGTCCTAAAATTGAGAGCAAATTCTACTCAAAATTTTAAACAATGATAATTTTATTAAACAACCAGATTGAAGAAACTAAAAGTTGCACTGTCGGATAACATTCAAATAAACATGATACAAATCGGGTTTTATGATCATTTTGTGAAATGATATATTTATTTAAGGTAAGTCACTCCTGAAATTTGTTAAATCAAGGATTTTTTTAGAAATATATTTTGGATAAGTACTCGTAATGTGTTACTCAAAATCGCAAAGAAAATAGGGGGTCGGTGTTCATCTTACTGATCTTCGGTACATTTAAGTTGACCTTTTTGCGTTAAAATTTCATCTCTTTGGTTAATTACTTAAACCCTTATTATATTTTATCAGATGTAAGCATGGCAATAAATAAAATGTTATTTTACGTAAAATAGTTTGAATAATATTTATCATTAAACAAATCTTGCAAATTAATGCGCGTAAATTATTGTGTGACCTTTTTGCACTAAAAATAACACATTTGGGGTATTAAAAAAAAGGCAATAAAATTTTTCTCATGTAACCGAGCAATAAGGCAGATGTTGTTTTCATAATTTATTGAAGAAATAAAGGCATTGATCTAAAAAAAACAAAATACATAATAAGTCAAAATTACAAAAAATTGAGAAAATAACATATGAGATAATTTACCTTACAGTATACGTTTAAGAAAAATTAAACTCCATGAAAAAAATGTGTACTGTAAACAATTCAAATTGAAACCTACAGACTCATTTCATTTACAACTTTGAATGCAAAAATACAATAAAGTAAAACGTTTGCAATCAAAATAATAACGTAAATCAAATCTTTATATGGCAATGAAACACATAATCAAATATACAAGTTACATACCATAAGATGCGTATGATGGAAACTGGATTTAAAATATACTTCTTTCTGGAAAACGTATTACTGCTCTGATATACAAAGTAAAGCGCGGTAAATTTATACTTATAATGAAAATGTATTATTGGATGAAAAAATAGGAAATAACCAACCAAATGAAAGAGCCAATGAAATCATAGAAGAAAACTTTACTCAGGCAACTCAATCCAGGTGCGCAATAGAACTTTTGGTTAATCAAATTTTAAGATTTTATTTCTCAAAACGATATGAAAAAATAAATATAAACGAATAAATACATATAGAAATAGATTTCATAATATCACATACTCCCCTGGAAAATTGTTAATCTGTCCTCAGATTATAATAATATCAAATTCACATAATAATAAATACATATAGATATAAATACGAATCAATGAATTCCTCCATTTCACAGAACAAGAAATAACTTTCTTATCACACATATTCACAACCACAATCACTGACGAATTGGCTTCAACTCCTGTCTGTTCACGTTTCTGGTCTTAGAATCGTCGTTTTCCAAACGCACACTGTAAACGGATGGAAACGGTTTTCCAACAATGATGAACACTTCTGGTCTCCACTTGTCTTGAATCTTATCACGTCCTTTGATCCCTCTGTTTCTTACGTACACACGTTCACCGATCTGTAACTCATCATTCGCTTTTCCTGCATCGTGTCTCTGCTTCCGGTCATCTTAGTTACGCTGAATCTCTGCCTTTGCTCTGTTGTACGCGAATTGTAACTTTTCCGATTGAAGTTCAATCCACCGGTCCAGACTGATGTCGTCAGTTGGAGGATTAGTGTTCCGTCCTAATAGGAAATCTATCGGCAGGTATGGGTCGCGTCCGTACATCAGGTAATAGGGTGAATATCCGGTTGACGAATGGGGTGTCACGTTGTACGAAAACACGAGCTCCTTGATGTATTCCGGCCACTTCCGCTTCCTCGCTGGGGGTAGAGATCGAAGTAAATCATGTAGCGTTCTGTTGAAACGCTCGCACTGTCCGTTTCCTTGAGGGTGGTACGCTGTCGTTCTTGTCTTTTTAATGCGATAAAGAGTACACAGCTGCTGAATAATCTCCGCTTCAAAACACTTTCCTTGGTCTGAATGTATACGTTTGCATACTCCAAACTTAAAGAAAAACTCGTTTACTAACACTCTGGCTACCGTTTGGGCTGTCTGATCTCGTGTCGGAACGGCTATAGTCCACTTAGAGAAAACATCTGTGATCACTAACACATTCTCAAATCCTTGCGCTTTTTCCAACACAGAAAAATCTATCGCTAAACACTCCAGTGGTTCGGATGCTGTAAGGTGTCCCATATTGGTATGCACTTTGGGTGGTGGAATCTTGGATATTGCACAACGGTCACATTTTTTACAGTAGTTTTTAATATCCAGAAACATTTTTGGCCAATAACACCGCTGTCGAATCATATTGAATGTTCTTTCTATACCTTGATGACCATTCTGATCATGGAGACACTCTAACACTGAGTCCTTCAAACACTCCGGAAGTAGAATCTGCGTGAGCTCTCCTAATTTTGGATCTTTAATCTTCCTGAGAATAACACCATCAGAAATACATAAGGACTTTAACTGCCTAAACAAAACTTGCACTTTCTTGTTCTGTTTCCTCGAAAAACTTGGTTTAGGAACAGTATTTGTCTCCAGGAAATTCGTACACTTTGAAATTAATGCGTCTTTTCTTTGTAATTCACTGATCTTATCCTTTGAATATCCAGGAAATGTTTCTGC